TTGCAGTACGCGGGCCTCTCACTGTTGTGGCCTCTCCCGTTGCGGAGCACAGGCTCTGGACGTGCAGGCTCAGCGGCCATGGCTCATGGGGCCAGCCGCTCCGCGACATGTGGGATCTTCCCGGACCGGGGCACGAACCCGTGTTCCCTGCATCGGCAGGCGGACTCTCAACCACCGCGCCACCAGGGAAGCCCTTGGGTCATTTTTTAATGGGTATTTTGTCCCTAATATTGATGTGTACTTTTTCCTGTCTGAATTGCCTTCCACACAGAGCTTGGAGGACTGCTGAAGTATGTGCGACCCTTCTTGAATTCCATCAGCAAGGCTAAAGCAGCTCGTCTGGTCCGATCTCTTCTTGATCTGTTTCTTGATATGGAAGCAGCTACAGGACAGGAGGTAAGCTACTTTAAAGACAGAAGGTAGACAATATGGAGCAAAGTGTTGTTTCAGTGAAAGAAATGCCTGCCTGCATTGTGGTACTAATGTGGAAGGGACAACTGGGAGGACAGCGCAGGACTTATCATGTCAGTTTCTCTTTGTTACAGGGCATTTGATACTTTGGGTCTGTTCCATGCTTTGCTTTGTAAGTGGAGATTGTCAGTGGTCCCTGGAATCCTCATTACATCAGGGTCACAAACTGATTCTTGTCTTTGAGGTATTGTATTGCCACACCTTTGTAATGTTTTCTGTGTCTGTGGTACCTTTCATTCTGTGTCACAAAGCTCCTTGTGAGCACTAATTAAGTCTTGTGGCATCCCTTCTTGGCATGTCTTGTACCGCATTTATGCCTTTATTGAGGGGTGAGCATCCATCTGTTTTTGTCTTGTGTGTGCAGAAGTGACTGGTATACCTGTACATGTCCTCTGTGAGTTCAGACTAGACCCTGAGCTGCACTGAAGAGTGCCTCTTATGGAATCATTGAGCCTCTTCCCATTCTTCAAAGGTAGCTGTATTGTCTGCAATTCAGGAGAAGGAGACGCTACCAAAGTTAAAATTCATTCTGTAAAAAGTGGCAGATTCAAGCAGGGTATATGGTGGTTGCTTGAATCTGTTTGTAGGAAGACTATAGTTGTCTTTTCTGTAGATTTATTGATCAGCACTCACTAGTGCCTGCTATGTGTTAGGCACTGTTATAGATACTGGGGATTCATTTGTAACAGCATACAGTTGTTGCTCTCCTGAGAATTATATTTTAATGATGAAGGCAGGTAATAAATATATAAAATGTCAGATGATATAAAGGCAGGGATAGGAATTGGTAGTTGGTTATTTTATTTATATATATATATCATTGTTTGCCATAGCCTCTGTGGGTGTAAAAGATATGAAGGGGCTTAGTGGCATATTGAGTAAATAATGGGGAGCTTCAGAAACCTAGGACATATGGATCTCACTTTGAAATCATGTAAAATGGTTTTACAAAAACCATTTTGTAAAATCTGGTTTCTTGCCTTAATGATTCTTTGAAACCTAGTTTAAACACCATAAACTAACTTCATTGTAGAAAATTCATCTGTAGTGAATTCTTCAAATTCATTTGTTTCTGGGAGAACTGTGTTTCATGACAGTAGAACAAAAATAGATATGTAGATAGCTGCCTTTTGAACCAAAGCATTAAAATTATTTTTATGAATAATTTAAAAGAAAAAGTGATTTTTCTAAGGGGTACTACTCTTATATCTAACCCTAATTTTTAAAAAAATTGTATTTGTTCTCATGAAAAAGCGACACCCCATCTTTTGTTGGAATTAGGATGCCTTGTTCTTTTTTTTTTTTCCTTGGCTATGCCGTGCGGCATGTGGGATCTTAGTTCCCCACCTTGGGGTCGAACCCGCGCCCCCTGCATTGGAGGAAGCGTGGATGGAGTCTTAACCACTGGACTGCTAGGGAAGTGCCTTAGAATGGGCTGACCAATAACTATTAGCTTGAAACAGACTAATAAATGTTACTTGGAACATTTTAGGCAGAAAAAACTAATTATCCAAGCTGCTTCTTTGACACTGAAGTCTTGGAATTTGTTCCTTCTCATAACGTAGAGCTGACTCTGGATAGAACTGCAGTTGTTTAATGATCACTTCTACTCCTTTATCCAAATTATTGAAGTCATAATTTAGTGCTCTCCTGTAATTGGCTAGTGGGTTTTACTGGCCTTTGTCATGTATTCCATGTCTGGGTAGGCCCTCCCTTTAACTGTGTGTGTACATTGCTATTGTTCATTGCACATTACTTTTTTGTCAACTAGAAACCTTTCTTCCTTATCTTAGGGTGAAAGGAAACACTCTCAGGTACTGTGTCATTTTATTGTCAGTGTCATCTTAGTGCTGAGTAACAGCTGTTGGTTTCTTTTGTTTTTGATGTTTAGTAGTGTAGCTTTTTTTTTTTTTTTTTTAAAGATTTAATTTTATTTATTTTTGGCTGCATTGGTTCTTCGTTGCTGTGTGCAGGCTTTCTCTAACTGTGGTGAGCGGGTGCTACTCTTCCTTGTGGTGCGTGGGCTTCTCATTGCGGTGGCTTCTCTTGTTGCATAGCACGGGCTCTAGGCACACAGGCTTCAGTAGTTGTGGCTCGCGGGCTCTAGAGCACAGGCTCAGTAGTTGTGGCGCACGGGCTTAGTTGCTCTGTGGCATGTGGGGTCTTCCTGGACCAGGGATTGAACCTGTGTCCCCTGCATTGGCAGGTGGATTCTTATCCACTGTGCCACCAGGGAAGTCACAGTAGTTTAGCTTTTTATCAAGAGCGAGAGTCTTAATCCACTTAGCAGGTCTTCTTTCAGTAATTTTTGTGGATTATAGGTTATTTGCTTGTTTTGGAATAAATTATCAATCATCCACATGGTGCTACTTGCACCTCAAACTCAACATGGCAACATCAACATCCAGCCATTTATTAAATTCTGTCAGTGCAACTTTCTTCAATCTCTGTTCTTCACCTCTTTTTATATTTGTTCTCTATGTACAGCTGCCGTCTAGTTTGGGTTCTGATTCTTCTCTCTTTTTTTTGAGGTATTGTTGATATATACAGTGGGTTCTAATTATTTCTTTTTTTGTTTTTTAACATCTTTATTGGAGTATAATTGCTTTACAAATTATTTCTTACTTAGACTACTGCAAAAGCCTCGTATCACCATTTTGAGAGATATCCCCACCAAGTAACCCTCTGAACATTTTATTCCCCTCTCTGTTCACCCGTAACTTGAGCCTTCAGTGACTCTCTGTTGCCTACAGAATTAGGTATTACATGTTTTTCTACAATACAGCTTAGCATGACAGTCTGATCTCCTAGTACTCTATGAAGTGTACCAAACATGCCAGCCTTGTTGGATACTTGCTGAGCAAGTCCTGTACACTCTTCATGATAGTACCTTTCCCTTCTGTAGTTCCATGTCAAGTACCACCTTCTCTGAAATCTTTCCTTGTTGATATCACTGTGATCTTAACTCTTCAGTAATCCACATTATATTTTGTACATGTTATATATATATATATTTTTGCGGTACGCGGGCCTCTCACTGTTGTGGCCTCTCCCGTTGCGGAGCACAGGCTCTGGACGCGCAGGCTCAGCGGCCATGGCTCATGGGCCCAGCCGCTCCGCGGCATGTGGGATCTTCCCAGACTAGGGCACGAACCCGTGTCCCCTGCATCGGCAGGCGGACTCTCAACCACTGCGCCACCAGGGAAGCCCCACATGTTATATTTTTGATTATGCCTTGTATGATGATTACCTGAACGTTTGCTTTATTTTCTTTCCTTTTTAAAATTAAAAAGAAATAAATTTATTTATTTATTTTTGGCTGCTTTGGGTCTTTGTTGCTGCACGCAGGCTTTCTCTAGTTGTGGCGAGTGGGGGCTACTCTTCATTGTGGTGCACGGGCTTCTCATTGCGGTGGCTTCTCTTGTTGTGGAGCATGGGCTCTAGGTGCATGGGCTTCAGTAGTTGTGGCACATGCGCTCAGTAGTTGTGGCTTGAGGCTATAGAGTGCAGGCTCAGTAGTTGTGGAGCACGGGCTTAGTTGCTTCACGGCATGTGGGATCTTCCTGGACCAGGTCTCGAACCTGTGTCCCCTGAATTGGCAGGTGGGTTCTTAACCACTGTGCCACCAGGGAAGTCCCTTGCTTTATTTTATTTACTGTAATATAGTCTCATTCAGGTGAAGCCCTATATCCCTTGTAGTACCACAGTGTCTTTCTCATTCCTAATTCATGGCTATTCCTTAACCATGGCTGCCTCTGACCTCACCTACCATATTATTCTTTCTTTTACTTTCTTTACAGCTGTAACACTGGCCTTTTGCCTTAGCTTTAAACTGTTCTAGCTTTGGGGCATTTTTATACATCTGACTTTTTTTTTTTGCCGCACTGCATTGCTTGTGGGATCTTAGTTCCCTGACCAGGGATCGAATCTGTGCCCCCTGCAATGGAAGCACTGAGTCCTAACCACTGTACCGCCAGGGAAGTCCCGCTCTCAGCCTGATCTTAACACGGCTTTTTTCTTCACATCATTTCAGGTCTTTGCTTACATCTCATTTCCTCAGAGACCTTCTGTTATCACCTTATCTAAAATACCTAGCTCTGCTTTCTTCGTATTTGTGTTACTTATTCCTACTTAGAGTATAAATTTCATGAGGATAGGTACTGTGTCCTATTAACTGCTGCATCTTCTGCACTTAGAGTAGTTTGGCCCAGAGAAGCTACATAACTAGTATTTGTTGAGGGAATGTATGGATTATGCCTTCCAGATGGTAGGTGCTCAGGAGATACTTTGTTGAATTAAGACTTAAGTTTATTGACTTGAGATATAAGCACGGGGTATTGTTACTACATTTGTCTATGTGACTCAAGGCCTCTGACTTGGGGAAATTGGATATAGTCTTCTTCATCTTGGAAAATTCTAGGTTCTTTTAAAATTCTTTGATTAACTAATGGGAAAGGATAGAGGAGCAAGTCATAGGTGGATCACCGTCAGAGTACTATTGAGGCCTGAGGCAAAATATGAAGTGTTAGGACATTGTTAAGAGAGCTAGGAGTTTGGGGGAGTTTGGTACCGAGAACTAGAGTATTGGGGAGTTTAACACCAAGAGTATGGGGAAGGGGATTTTCCTTGCCTTTTTGTATTTGGGGACTGACCATAAGTCAGATCTACAGAACAATCTTCAGCTTGCTGTATTCCGAAAGCTGATATGATTCAGGTTAGGTTCTGGTCATTTGCAGTACTAAAGTTTAGAGCCTAGGAAGTGAGGCTATATGGGTGGGGTGGGGGACTGAGGATTGGGGTGGTTAGCAAGGGGAGGGGAGTAGAGAGTTGGGGTGAAGAGAGGGGCAAGAAGAGTGAACCAGATCCCTGCCAAATAGTGAACTGAAATTCCAGAATTCATTCTACCTTCTAGGGATCTCTAGGCAGTTTCTATGGGAAGCCATTTTTTGGTATAGTCTATCCAGCTAAAACACAATAGGACATTTTAAGAAACCTTACATCAAAAATCCTGTTAATGAAACAATTATTTCAAGGGAAAAAAGGGAGTTTGTGCTAGAGAATTTCAGACTTAGAATGGTAGTTAATTTTTCTCCTTAGGAATTTAGTTAATAAAAGCATATAAAAATGGTTAAGTGTATTTATTTAAAGCTTAAAAAATACCTAATCTTGACCGTGTCAAGCTTTTGTACTCAAGTAGGGCTTCCTCCGGAAGCATGGGCTTCTTGTGTATTCTTATCCCCTTTATCAGTCATCATTAGCATTAACAAAGGACAAAACCTCTCAAGCTATGTAGCAAGGGCAGTGGTCTTTAAAATTCTTTCTTAAAACTGAAGCACTGGTTTCACCAATTATAGTCCCAGATATTGCAAAGCATGTACCCTGTAATTGATAACAGATAGGAAGTTCATGTTATACAAATTCCCCGCTGTAGGAGAAATGTCTGTATTGACCTGAGTTTATTAAGGCTGGGTTGAGGTAGGGTCAAGTTCTGGTCCCAACAGCTGAATACGTGACCTTGGGTGAGTCACTTAACATCTGGACTGTCAGGGAAATGAGGACAGGTTGAGATGCTAGAGTAGAGCTCAGTGTTTCTTAATTAGGGATATACATCAGAGTGGCCAACCTTTTATTCCAGACTACTGGATCAGGAGCCTTGGCATTCATTTCTGCATTGTTTAAAAAAGCTTGCTGGGTAAAACTGATGGTAAGCATTTCTTACCCACGAAGACACGTAGGACTGAAGATTTTTATTCTTGTTGCTAAAAACGTTCAGCAAAATATTTGCAGTTCCATTCATGTCATGAACAGAGATATTACTTTGAGTTTGGCTTTTCAGAACAAAACTCAAAACTGTGAAATTGTGATTGGCTTGCTTTTATTTTAGGTTTTGTAGAATTTACTGTATGAGGGCAGTTGAGTGTAGAGTTGGGGATTAAGTAGCCACTAGGGGGCTCCAGTGAATTATAAAGATTTCATTGACTTACTGGTGAATCCTCCAAATACCATGTAATGTCATCCATTTATCTAAAGGCAGAAGGTCTTTCAATTTGGATTATGTCCCTTTACTCTTCACTCCTTGTAACATCTCTTAAGAGAAATTGGGATTTACATAAAAACCTGTTCTTTTAGCACTTAGTTCTCTGGAAAGCTCAGTTTCTTTTTATGCTCTGATTATGAATCTTAACTCGCAGTAACAGAAGTGATACAATATCTGAAGCTCTTAATACATACTTGTCAGAGCTACTATGGCAAGGGTACCTATGGCATGTAGACTATCTAGCATAGAACACTACTTTACGTTAGTTACTTTGCATGGTACCTTACTGCTTGGGTAGCATATAGAACTGGGGTTCAAAGTGCCTTTAAAGAAAGCTTAAAAGCCCCTTAAAGTGTTAGGCTAATTCTCATTTCTTTTTACTTCCTTTAGTACAAGCTAAGTTTGCTGTATTGTGATGAGAATTGTTGGTTGCACTTCTTAGAATCTGGAAGGGGAAAGCCAGCTGGGCCTTTTGAGTCTTACAAGCAACTCTTAGGAGTAAGACACTTGTGCCTAGGCTGAGAATTTCTCCCCTTTATGACCAATATAGTCACATGAACACATTACTATTACTATTCAGGGAGAGATTTCTGCTTTAAATATTTCTCAGCCATTATAGAAATCTACATTCCAGCGCTATGTATGTAGCCTGGGTCCCTCCTGGGACAGTAGAAGAGGAATCTTGAAGATGAAGCTCTTTTCCAAGGGAACACAATCTAAGCACAAAGATACTTTGTGTGTAAAAAGCCAAGTTGATTTTCCATTATGCTATAATCATTACATACTGAGATACTGGCGATCAAGGCATGCCTCTGAGACAGTAAACATGGGTATGTAAGGAGGAGATGAAAGGTGTTCTCCAGAGGAAGGCTTGTGGGAAGAACGTGAAGGCATAATGTTGCACGTACTGTCTCTCCCTGTTGCAGGTCGAGTTGTGTTTAGAGTGCATCGAATGGGCCAAATCAGAGAAGAGAACTTTCTTACGCCAAGCTTTGGAGGTATGTGCCTACATTAGTACTGATTTCAGATCTCTAGGCATTTGAAGGACTGTGCATATAAGTAATACCATCCTGATCAAAAGTATTTTCAGCAACTTTGTATTATCCAGGCGCCTGAAATTATTGGTAGCAGTGTCCCACTCATGAGAATTGCTCTGGTTGAAGTTTTGAGACAGACCTGCTGCTTGGCTCAGAAAAGTAAGCAGCAACGTGGTTTAGTCAATCACTGGCTATAATAGGAGATAATATCACGGGCTAGATGATTTTTTAGGCTGAATTTGATGCTTTCATCAGGACCTGAATATTCAACAGTAACAGTTCTGTGACTGTCAATCTTTGATTTCTTTCTTTGGCTTTTTCCTCCCCTTTCCGTCAGTCAATGCCTTTTCTCTTTCCTAGGCAAGACTGGTGTCTTTGTACTTTGATACCAAGAGGTACCAGGAAGCATTGCATTTGGGTAAGTAAGCTGGTGGAAGCTAGTAAGGCATCTGTAGCTGGCTAAATGAATGTATTCCAAACCTGGCTACTCTTACTAGTTACATATTAATAATTTATATTCTGCCTACTTCTAAGAAGGATTTAGTGTGGCTTATATTTACTGAATCTGTCATGGAAAAATGCCATTTAGAAGTTCTAAGAAACTAACTGTCAACTTTAGAGAACAAAAGAGTCAAATTGCTCGTATTTACTATCACATCTACTGTATCTGTTTATAATTATTCTTAAAATCTATTTTAAATATCAAGAAATTAACTGGGTGCAAATACATAGGAAACCTGAAGTGGGCCAACTAAAGGCTTTTCCTTTTGTCTTTTAAACACCGTGAAATCTTTGCCTGCTGTTTTTTTTTTTTTTTTTTTTAATTAGTGGATACATCTGGACTGTTTTCCCCAGATGGAAGAACACGGCTTTCATGATCTATTAAGTTGAAAAAATTGCCAATATTCAATTCTTATCCTGCAAAAATGGAAATTTCATATGGTTCAAACAACTAGTAGCATTACAAAAAATAACAGGTTTATTGAGATATAATTCACAGACCATAAAATTCACCCTTTAAAAATGTACAATCAGTGATTTTTAGTGTATTCACAGAGTTGTGCCCCTGTCACCACTGTCTGATTTCAGACATTTTCATCACCCCAGAACGTAACCTTGTACCCATTAGTTGTCTCTTCCCATTAATTCCCCATCCATCATCTCTGCCTGCCCACCTTCCCAGGCAATCACTAACTACTTTTTGCCTCTGTAGATTTGCCTATTTTCACATAAATAGAATCATACAGTATGTGGTCTTTTTGATTGGCTTCTTTCTCTTAGCGTAATGTTTTCAAGGTTCATCTGTGTTGTAGCGTATAGCAGTGCTTTTATTGATGAATAATATTCCATTGTATAGCTGTACAGCATTTTATTCATCCATTCATCAATTGATGGACATTTAGATTGTTTCCACTTTTTGGCTATTATGAATAACTGCTGTGAACAGGTTTTATGTGGACATGTTTTTCTTTTGGGTATAATATACCCAGAAGTAGAATTGCAGGGTCATATGGTAACTGTTTAGCTTTTGAGGAACTGCCAAACTGTTTTCCAAAGTGGCTACACCATTTTACATTCTCACCAGCAATGTATGAGGAGAGTTCCAGTTTCTCCTTATCCTCACCAACATTTCCTAATATTGTCTGTCTTTTTAATTTTAACCATCTTAGTGGGTGTGAAGTAGTATCTCATTTTGGCTTTGAGTTACATTTTCCCTAATGACTAAACTAGTGATGTTGAGCAGGGGGAAGAAGATGTATTTGGAGAGTGTTAGTATATCCAAAGCTCTTTCCTTCCCCCACCAACCCTAGTGCCTGGTGTTTCTGATGTAGTCTTGTGATTATTGGACAGGAAGAGAGTGAGATCAAGTGTCTCTCTGAACTGGATAAGTAATTTCAGCATTTTCTGGGTGGGGATTCCCAATGTATTCAAAACTTAGGAGTAAACTTACATGATTCTCAGCTGTAATGTCCTTTGTGTGCAGAAAGCCTTCAAAGAGATCTGTGTTTCTCTTTTGGAAGATAGCACATTAGCAGAAAATTTAAATCTTGCAAATAAATAACCTCTTTTTGAGTTCAGGCAGGTTTCTTTATCCTGAGTGTTCTTATGAGGGTGAGAGGGAAATATTACAGTATTAAAATATTAAGATTATGGCTAACAAAGGGGGTATATGTTTTTTCTTTCTCCAGGTTCTCAGTTGCTGCGGGAGTTGAAAAAGATGGATGACAAAGCCCTTTTGGTGGAAGTACAGCTATTAGAAAGCAAAACATACCATGCCCTGAGCAACCTGCCAAAAGCCCGAGCTGCCTTAACCTCTGCTCGAACCACAGCAAATGCCATTTACTGCCCCCCTAAATTGCAGGCCACCTTGGATATGCAGTCAGGTAACACCCCATGTTTTCTTAAAGCTCATCTTACCTCACAGGTGAAAGGACTGGGGGGTTGGGGCTGGAGAATAAAATTGGCTGTTCTGGCTCAAGCTTCCTCAGAGAAACCAATGGAAGGTTACGTCTCTCACTAGCTGCCCCCCTCCTCTTCCCTTGCTGTTAACTGCCCAAAATATATTAAGAGCATGCTTAATCTGTGGTTGACCAGGCAAACTGATTGTTAGAGCCAACACCCTAGAGAGGTCTCACTTAGGTTTAAAAAGCTCTCCCTTATCTTCCATCTTAGTCACTTACTCAGAATGGTAGCACTTCTCTCCAGAATTGGACTAACCCAAGTCTCTTGTCACTTGGAGACCTTTGTAAAGCATGTTGGACTTTTCTAAAGGGGCTCAGATCTAGGCTGAGGAAAGACACCCCCCCACCCCCCATTTCAGTCGAGTGTAGTGGGTTGCTTTCTGATGGAGTGTGTGAATTTTGGGGCTAGGAGGCCATGGATTGGCAACAGAATACTTTTTCTTGTAGTCAGCAGCTTTTATTAGTTATAACTTATTATCATTATTGAAGGAGCATTATTGGAGTCAGAGGACTAACTAGTGTTACCTGGTATTACCTCTTCGCAATCTTTGTTTCCATGTAAAACTGTAAGAGGGAGATAATAGTTATCATACTTGCCTCTCAGGTATTGTAAGTATCAAATGGCATGTTTTGTGATTCAGGTTAAAAGCAGAAGCTCTAGAAAAAAGTCTAGAAAACAACTTTTCTAGGTTGAAATTTTGGTTCTGCAAATTTCTAGCTGTGTGACTGGGCAAGTTACTTAAAATTTTTCTTCAGCTCATCTGAAAAATGGTGATAAATAATTGTACCTCCTCATAGGATGGGAGTGAGGATTAAATGAGATGATGAATGTAAGCTCTTATCACACAGTACCTTGCTTTTGACCAAATACCGGCACTCAGTTTAAGCCACTACTCTTCATTATGTTCTTTCTTCATGGTCAAGAGATGAACTTGCATCTTATTTCTCAGAGCAAATAGAGGCCATTTTTATGTGAACCTTCTTTATTTCTCTTTCCTCCCCAGAATTTGTATCATTGTTCATTTTTACCCATTATCAAGCATGATCCTTCTACCTGTCCTTTTTTTTTTTTTTTTTTTTTTTTTTTTTTTGTCGCGGTACGCGGGCCTCTCACTGCTATGGCCTCTCCCGTTGCGGAGCACAGGCTCCGGACGCACAGGCTCAGCGGCCATGGCTCACGGGCCGAGCCGCTCCGCAGCATGTGAGATCTTCCCGAACCGGGGCACGAACCCGTGTCCCCTGCATCGGCAGGTGGACTCTCAACCACTGCGCCACCAGGGAGGCCCCTACCTGTCCTTTTTAAGTCTTTAGTTTTTTCAATTCTAAGTCTAGTTTTTCGTCTCCACTTGGATCTTCCTCTCCGTCTTTTTTTTTCTTCTCATCAAGCTGTTTATTCTTCTTATTATAACTTGGACTCAAGTAATCCTGGTTATTCTGGAAAAAGCACTTTGTTATAGGGATCATTTAATCATCCTTTTCGACAATCACCTCTCCATGAAGCACCTGTCTTCTCTGATGTAACGTATGAAAGTAGAGTTGTGGAAACAATGGTATACATGAGGCCATGGTTATAAGAAGAAAATGATAGTAGTCAAAGGAGACATTGTATTTATTGGGAAGTCTTATTGAGAACGTTCCTGTTTTCTTCACGTGTGGTAAGGCAGCGTATATCGTTATGTCGCGTATCGTATGAAGTTTACCAGCAACTCCGACAGGATATAAGATGATAAAAAAATTATATTGGTTTTATACTGTGAGTAATGAGCCACAGCATAAAGATTCTTGAACTCCCTTGGACCCCAGCCACAAGCACAGAAGTAGGTACAATTCCAATTAAACAGTGGACTATCTCAAGCAAGACAAATGTCTGGAAAAATTTAAGTGTCTTCTGCATACTTTTATATAAACCTTTGTGTGTTCCTTTTTCCATATAAAAACGTACCGTGGCAATAGGCAGTACCAGCCACCCCGCGGTCATGGTGATGTTGTTGAAGGTGAGCCAGGTGGTGGCCAACAAGCCCAGGCTCCTCCTCTTGCCCACAGCTTCCCTCTCCTTGCCAGCCTCCCAGGCATCGCCATCGGTGCCGCCCTCATTGCTGGGGGGACGTGAACAAGAGGGGCAGGGGAGTGTGAACAAGAGGGGCAGGGGAGTGTGAACAAGAGGGGCAGGGGAGTGTGAACAAGAGGGGCAGGGGAGTGGGAGGGGGCCTGGCTGAGCGCACTGCTGAAGCCCCGGGGCCCACTGCTGCCGCCATGCCCAGCCCCGCGGCCTTCCTCTCAGTCTTTGAAGGGCCCCAGCTGAAAAAGCACAGCCTTCTGTCCTTTGTAAATTGCTGTCTTCTCCTTTTCTGTCAGGCTTCTTGGAAAAGTTGAAAGAATGTCATTACTTTGCTGTCTCTGTTGACTCCTTGAAAGGCAGTAACTGCTCTCTATCCTCCGTGGGGTTTGGGGGGTGACAGTGTTGGGCACTCCACGCCTCTTTGGCAGGTTGTCTTCTTGGTTCTCCTCCCTTGACTAGTTATCCTCAGTCACTCTTTCTTCTGATATATCAGGTTGAGTCTGTCTCCAAATCTGCTCTTTCTTTTCCATTTCTACAATCACTGCTCTAACTAATGCCACCGGACCACTGGAGTAGTCTTTTACTGATCTAACTGCCCCTAGTCACTTTTCTCAGTCCATCTTGCTTACTAGTCCTAAAGTCATTTTTTGGAAACACAGATCTGATCATGTAACTCCAATGGTTCCCCATTATCCCCAGGCTATTTTACTTTAACAGTGCATTTAGAAAGAAGACATCCTTCTCATGGTTATCTCTGGTTTTCAGTCCTAGTCACCAAATGACTTTATGTGTTGCTGCTCCTGTGCCTTTATATATTTTGTCGTCTGTGCTTGGAATTCCCCTTTCCATCTTCTCCCCTTGGCAAACTCCTATGCATCCTTCCAGATCAAGCTCACATGTCTGCCTTATAAACCCTCTTCAGTGCCTTCTTTACTTTGGACTTCCCTATGAAAGGTATATTCTTTGGTACATATTATGGTACTAATCTCCTTGTTCCTGATTTGATGACCACTGTGAGACTGAGCTCCTTCAGGGCCTTATTCATATTTATTTTCTCTATAGTAGTTATATCAGTGCTTGGCACATGGTAGGCCCTTGTTAATATATGTGTTGAATGAGTAACAGTCTAGTGTTTTGTTTCTTTAAATAATAAATGTCCTATGCCAGCTGTGATGCTTGTAGTCCTAATGTGGTCTCTATTTGCTAATGTGTTTTGGAAAGCAGTATACCAGTTCTTCTTTACTTTTTTCTTTTTTTAATCAGTCTTATTTTTTGTCTGGTCTATTCTAGCTCTGGACTGGGAAGAATGGGAAAATGGGCATTTGTCTCATTTAATTTGGCAGTGCTAGTAGTCTGTTGGGTATTTTTGAGGGAGGTCTCCTTGGCTACAGAGGAGGGTGGGTTTTCTCCAGGCCTCTGTAGTTAAGAACAGTAGTAGGAGAAGGACCTGAATCCTTCAGCCTCTAAACAGGAGGCTTTTTGGGTAGGTTTGGCACATATCACTCAGTAGTGGTTATTAATTCATAAGTTCCCAACTGGCATGCCAGGCATACAGGTATGTGACGGGTGGTCTGAAACAGTGATCCCCTGGGGTCATGTGTAAGCAGTTTCATCCTTTTACTCCAGTGTGCTGAATACTTTATTCGTGTACCTTGATGTGGAAAAGTTGGGAAGCCCTGTGGTAAACAAATGGATGTGGCTGAGGCAGGGCTAGAACGGATACACAGAATCTTAGGGCTTAGTTGCCTTCCAAGCTAGGAAGAACTAATTTTCACGTCATCCTACGTGATAGCATAGGTTGGAAGTAATAGCAGGTTCAGTCAAAGTTAGGCTTATTGGGAGCATCCCAACTTCTAAACAGTAGAGAACTGGTCAGATAAGTGTAGCGTAATACTGCTTAACTGTGTACAATTAAGTTCATGGATTTGGCATTACATGAAATCCATTTACTGATCGCATCTATCTATAAATGACCAGTATCTGAAATGAGACTGTAAGAGGTTGGATTTTCTTTTTCTCCCTCATGAAAGCTGCTTACTTATAAAAGTGTCAAGTTTAGAAAAGCTATCTTAAAGAAATGGTTGATGTTATTAAAACTAGTAATTTGGGCAGACCAGGGAGGGATGTTTGCATCAGTTTTCTGACCCGTGAAGGTAATGTCATGGAGGGTAAACGTGGCCTTTTCTAGTGGTTCCAATGGATAGCAGGACTGCTGTGGTGGTGTGAAAAGTTGTTACCATATGCGGTTTTTAGGATCCCCTTTTGTTGGGTCTCTAACTCCTTTGGAATTAATATTGGAAAGGTGACTTGAACTGGGAGGCCAAAGACCTGGGTTCTAATCCCAGCTTTGCCACTAGATGGCAGTGACTTTGGGCAGGTCCTTTATTCTTTCCTGACCTCATCAATAAGTAGATGAGGTTGGGATAGATTTTTGAGGCCCTTCCCAGCTGTGACATTTTATGGTTCTATTATTTCATATGGTTCTTACTCTTTTCTTTTCAATGCCCAGGTATTATCCATGCAGCAGAGGAGAAGGATTGGAAAACTGCATACTCATATTTCTATGAGGCATTTGAGGGTTATGACTCCATCGATAGCCCCAAGGCCATCACATCTCTGAAGTACATGTTGCTGTGCAAAATCATGCTCAACACGTAGGTGCACATTAACTTTGGGATATGAGAACTCAGGTCCTTCATCTAAGATTTTCTGCCATGGCAGAGATGGCTTGGGCAGGGACTTTGGCCAGTTACGGAAGCAGCGGCTGCCACCTCATGGGGCTGATTGAGGTGGAATGGGAGGATTGAAGGTAATCCAGAGCACTTTTCCTTGCTAGTCTTTCAGAACTGGGGAGACAGATTTCAGAAATCTCTTTCCCAGCCCCTCTGAGTGTTCTCCTCATCCTACAATTCTGTCCAGAAGAGTTGTTGAGCACAGGACAGAGGGCCAGGAAATGGCTTACAGACCAGCACCAGCCAATGGGCCACCCAGAATGGGAGTGGTTTAGGGAGAGGTTTGAAAAGGCGACAGTGGCAAGTATGACAGCTAGATCTTTTTCTAAAGATTTACAGAATTACTCCACATTCTTTTTTGGAATAAATGAGATACTGACTGGGATTCTTTTTGGATCTTGGGATTAAACAGGGCTTGTGTTTTGAAAGATCTGTTATACTGGGATTTGATTTATATGTATCATTTTGCCTATTGGGTCTATTACTTCTGGTAGGTTCAGTGTGGCTTTATTTTCTTTCTTTTTTTTTTGGCTGTGTCGTGCAGCTTGCGGGTTATTAGTTCCCTGACCAGACCAGGGATTTAACCCGGGGCCACGGCAGTGAAAGCGCCAAGTCCTAATCACTGGACCGCCAGGGAATTCCCAGTGTGGTTTTCTTTTTAACGTTGAGTTGTCCTGCTTTTCAGCACTGAGCCCAGAGTGGAGAAAGCCTAGCGTCTATGGTGTGAGAGGCCTATGGGTTTAGGGGTGGGGGCTGATTACCTCTGTGGGCAGAGCCTTTTCAGAGGAAAAGATATTTGCCTGAACATATGCTTAGAAGCATAACATCCTGGAGCAGTTGACCGAGTATGTATTTTTCTTTTAGCCCAGAAGATGTCCAGGCCTTGGTGAGCGGGAAGCTTGCACTTCGGTATGCGGGGAGGCAGGTAGGGTATGCCTTGACTGCAGTTCTGATCTCTGCTCACTCTGAGGCAGCGTGTTATTAGACATGGTGTTCAGTGAGACCGTGCTCTTCAGGTCTCCATTCCGCTCTTCATTCTTTCTTCCCCCCTCTTCTTTTCATTAAGGTCGTTCGGTATATTTCCTGTACTGTTACTTCTTGGCCTGAAAAGTCAATGTTTGGTGCTCTTGTGGGTATCGGGTGGTTTGAGGGACGTAACAGAACTCAGAATTGAACTGTAGCATTTATAGTGAGTTAGGTTGCATTTAGCTTCGACCGGAAAGTGTATCTACCATGATCTTGGCTTGAAAATTTCATGTGCGGAATAAGAAATCTTGGATTCTCTAAGAGTGTGGAGCCGGGTAAGGTCTGGTGCGCATGTGCTTTAGAGAGGTCAGATTGCTTGGTGCAGAAACTAGGTTTTGATGACTCAAGTGCTTCTCTTATCAGTATCCTCCCACTCTTGTCCTGAGTTTGGGTGTGGTCAAGAAGAGGCCTTTGATGGTTGGTAGCCCTATTTGTGATGGCTTTTATGCCTGAGTAGGTAAGAGTGTGACCTGTGTAAAGATGATGTCTCAGATGTCTGCCTCATAACTTTGTACTTTACTTGATTATCACTGGTAAAGTAAAAGTAGTCTTTCTAGGTTTCAAATGCAGTTGTCTCTAAACAACAGACACGTTGGCTATCTCACTGTATCTTTGGCAGAATGTCCACAACAGATGATTTCTTCCTTCTATACAAGTGGCCCTAATTGGCTTTTCATCAGAAAAAGTTTCAGATCAGCTCCTAGTTTTGACCAGAAGAATATTGGTTATTTCTGTAGTGAAAGACTCACTATCATATCTAGAATTAGAGTTGAGGAGGTGGGCTAAGAGAGGTCAAGTGTCCAGAACAAGGCCAGGTAACTAGTAATGGTGAAGCGAGACTTTGAACTTGGGTTAGTTAATCTGGCTTTAGGTTTTATGCTATTCTCATTATGACATTTTTCTGTCTATAGAACAAATGCTGGAGACAAACTACACTAACGATTAGCTTTGCATCATTTTTAAAGTCTGCAGTATAAGACACTACCTTCCTTGTTTAAGTACATAGGCTGGTACAAGAGGAGTTCCCTCTGGTCCTTTGTTCCTTGATGACGGCTTTCAAGCAGGAGTCAGGCACTCAGGAAGATGAATGTTGTAGATTTCGTGCTGAGTAGAGACTTAAGAGCTTGGTCGGGTACCTTTTATAATGTTTTATAAAGTTAGAAGTTGCCCCTTAACCCTTGGTTAACCTTCATCACTCTGGGGTATTAACATTCAGTATGATACATAGAATTTTGATGCTTCAAGCTTAATGAAAGTCAATCTTGGTCTGTGCCCTGCACCAAGCCCAGCAGAATGAGTTTTTATAAAGCACAAGGTATGATCAAGTGTGAGGGCAGGAAGGGTTCTGTGGGGTGTAGGGATAGGGAGTCTTGGAGGAGGGGCGAGGAAATCGCACTTCTCTGGCCATTTTCCCTTTTAGCTTGTCATCTTTGGAGAATGCTTTATCAAAGTCTCTTTTTTGGAAAACTTCGTCTTTCCTAGTACCTTTAAGTCACTTCAGCTTTCAAAGGGAAACTGGTTGGCACACAGTGGTACTCCTCTAGCTTTTCTTCCTAGGCCTCTGAAGAAGAGCAGTGGTGGGGCAGGTTCTTCCTTGCAGCCAGAAGTTGTGTGGACATAGCATGTTCCTTATGAGACTTGTTGGGATGTGAGTGTGCAGATCACTTTCATTGTTTCTCTCTTTATTCTTAGACAGAAGCATTAAAATGTGTGGCTCAGGCTAGCAAGAACAGATCACTGGCAGATTTTGAAAAGGTAAGCAAGATATTGGGTTGGTAGGGAACTGGTGGAGGGGAGGGGCATTTAAGCACTTTAAAAAGTTTTCTTTAATCTTTAAATGATTATAGTTTCACAAGAAGTTGCAAAGATAGTACAGAGTGATCCCATGTACCATTCACCCAGTTTTCCCCAGTGGTTACATCTTATCTGTAGTACAGTATCAAAACCAGGAAGTAGTTAAGCACTTCTGTACAATGAAGCTTGTGGAATTGTCATACCTCATTTATATACAGTACCTGTCAGTTTCAAAAAGTTCTGTCATTCTTCTTTCACTTGATTTTTTTTTTTTTTGGCTGCGTTGGGTCTTCATTGCTGTGTGCAGGCTTTCTCTAGTTGCAGCGGGTGGGGGGCCACTCTTTGTTGCAGAGCACGGGCTCTACGTGTGTGGGCTTCAGTAGTTGCAGCACGTGGGCTCAGTAGTTGCGGCACGCGGGCCCTAGAGCGTGTGGGCTTCAGTAGTTGCGGCGCACAGGCTCTAGGGAGCGCGGGCTTCAGTAGTTGTGGCACGTGGGCTTAGTTGCTCCGCGGCATGTGGGATCTTCATGGACCAGTGATTGAACCCATGTACCCTGCATTGGCAGGCAGATTCTTAACCACTGCACCACTAGGGAAGTCCCCTTTCATTTGATTTTTCACAACAAACCTGTTACCTGTATTTTATGCTTGGGGAAGCTGGAATTTAAAGAGGAGGCCTGGGTCACACAGCTCATGTGTGTCAGGGTCTGACACAAGCACCATGCAGCATGGTCTTAGATGTTACTTCAGCTCCAGAAATGCCAGGTCTGCTTCTCCTCTGTGGACAGAAGAGAAGTTTTGATGTGTGCATCTGGGCTGAGAGACACTTCCTTAGGATGGAAGTTCTGGGCTGGCCTTGCCTCCTGTGCCTTTCACTCAATGTTTGTGAAGGTTTGGAAAGGGAGAAAAACTTGTCTAAGCAATTGGGTGAGACTTATACTTTTCTGAGCCTCTCTCTTAGTCTGAGTATAATGACCAACTTAATAAAAACAAACCTAGATCCAGGAAGAAAAATAGTATGGACAGAAACTAGACCATGTGGCTCTCTGACTGTCCCCAGGGTTCATCATCTTCCTTGAGGTTTCTTGCCAATTTCATTTCCTTACTTGGCATGATTTGCTTGCTTCCCTTAACACCTTATAGCACAGCTGACATGAGGCTGGGATATTGTGAGAACATTACTAAAGGTAAATAAATCACATACACAAATAAACAAAGAGCCTAGATCATTTTATCCCCAAATTTGGATGGAACACTTCTAGTAGGGATTACAAAAAGGGTCTGTGATCAGATATTTGGGAAACACCAGGGCTAAACAAAATTAGAAAAGGTACTTTGTTTTCTGTGCTGACATTCCTTATAAAACCCCAAGAGCTAGCTGTGGGATTCAGCATTTCCTATTACTTAACCTCAGAATTCCCCCTCCTCCTGCCCCCATGGAGGCCTTATTTGTTCTGTGGAATACATATTGAGAACTGCTTTTGCAGTGAATTTAGCTTGCAAGCTGAGCTGCTCTTAGGGCTTACATGGTTTGAGCTGTCAGTGTGAGGCTTTTGGACAGGAAGATGGTGCCTAGGGTTAGGCTCCACCTTTTACTTCTTTTCATTTTCTTCCGCCTTCAGTCATGGCTGTTCTTTCATCTTCCCAAATCCTCCAGAACTACAGTCAACCATGTAGTTACAAGGGCCAGCACACTACTTAGGAAGCTGCGAGTAGCGTGACTTTCAAGTCCTTTTCTGTGCCAATCTCGGCTCTTTTGGCAGGCTCTGACAGATTACCGGGCAGAGCTCCGGGATGACCCAATCATCAGCACCCACTTGGCCAAGTTGTATGATAACTTGCTGGAACAGAATCTGATCCGAGTCATTGAGCCTTTTTCCCGAGTACAGGTAAGAACCCTCTTGGGGACTCTAGCTCTTCTCTGGTGGCAGGGGGTTTCTGGCTAGGTGTCCTCACTGTAGCCACCTCCCTTCCCACAACCATTCAGAATAGGAACTCACTTCCAAGGGTGTACCTGCTGGGCAAGAGACCCCCAAGAGCTTGCGATTTTCTTGACAGGGAATGAGTCAAGGAGAGGGATGCTGTGGGGTAGAGGCTGGTGAGGTTGCCCCTGCTTGTTTTCAGTGCAGTCTCCTCCTAGCTTTTGTAGTCACTGTGCATGTGGTAAATGCTTTCTGTTCTGGGTGTGTGGGACAGGAGTGTATTTGTTGTCTGTAGTGATGCAGGGTAGGCAGATGGACCAAGCACAAGAGACCTAAGCACAGCCAAAGAGAATCTGTCCCTGTAGAGACATTCGGCAGGATTTCAAGATACAGCACCACCCTCATCCCGATATTAGAGGCAGAAGTAAAACTTTCAGTGTTGGTGTCTTTTTACCTTTCCTTTTAGATCGAACACATATCTAGCCTCATCAAACTCTCCAAGGTAAGGAGTCCTGAGCTTGTCTTGAGGGTAGGGATGGGGAAAGGGGCATGTGGAGGGGCTGCCCTTTACACCCGCTGGGCCTTATTGCAAAGCTCCCAAGCTTCTCAGTGGGGACTGGGGACCGTGGGCTGAGAGCTGCAGATGCACTGTTGCTGTTTTATTTTCAGACCATTTGCCATAAGATCCTTTTTTACAAGGCTTTCATGTCAGTGTGATCTCTGACTAGTAGATGCTGGGCCCTTTAATCATGTGCTTTGATTTTAGGCCGACGTGGAAAGGAAATTATCACAGATGATTCTTGACAAGAAATTTCATGGTGAGTAACAGTCATACAGGTGAGGGGGCTGGTGGAGGTGATGAAATGGTGAAGAGGCATCATGCTCTTGTTTATCTTGAAAGAAGATGCTCCATTGTATCACCTGGTGGTTCCCTGGGATCCTTGCCCCTCTTATGCCTGTGATGAGAGTGTAATAAACATGCACGAATGGAACAGGAAGATGACTTCTGTTTCCCCTCCTTTCTGGAGAAAGTGAGGCAGCTAGGGAGTGGGCTGCTTCTCAAATGCTCGTGTGTCTAATTCTTTCTTTTACCTGGGTTTGCTTGTGTTTTCTGCAGGGATCTTGGACCAGGGGGAGGGTGTCTTGATTATTTTTGATGAACCCCCAGTAGATAAAACTTATGAAGCTGCTCTGGAAACAATTCAGAACATGAGTAAAGTAGTGGATTCCCTCTACAACAAAGCCAAGAAACTGACATAGGTGAGTGCTGACTCCGGGACCGGGGCCCGGGCAGCGCTGTCTTCTGCCTGTCGAGACTGAAAGCCTCCTGGTGGCCTTGGCGGCTTCCCCGATTGACACTGCTCTGTCTTCTCTTGCAGAGTTGGATCTGTAGCGGTCCTTTGGAGAGTGTGTGTGGCGGGAGAGTGAAACCTTTGGGGAAAATGCTAGGAGATTTTTTCTTTCTGTTCTACTTTTCGCTCAGAAAGTTTTTAAATCCTCATTTGGTGCATCTGTATTCCAGCCGATAGGTGTGCCAGTTTTCATGTAATCTTTACTGGCCCAACTTGGGAGTGGGGAAATTGCTTAAAAAAAGAAAAAAAAGAAAAAAAAAGGTTATTCTAAATAAAAGGAAAAAGGCTTACACTACCTAAAGCTGTGCTCTCTGCCTCCTGGGAGAGGGCCGCCAAGCCAGGCGCTCCGCCAGCCACTGGGGCTCCTAACCCACCCGCTGGGCGTCACCTCGTCTCCTCTTCAGAATTGGGTGTTCGCCTGACTATCAAAGCAACGACTTTTTATTCTGTTTGTACTGAACCAAAACAAACAACTGTGTATAGACTGCTATTTTCCTTTTTATTTGAAATGAGGCGTTTCGGTGTCCTTTCCCCTGCCATGTGGCCCATCCCCCCGCCCTCCCCCCAACAATGGCTCCAGCAGACTGGCCGAAGGTCCCGCCGCCGCCACCGCTGCAGCAGCACCTGCACAGCTCCGCTCCAACCTGGGAAGGAATGGGGACATGGCCAGGAGCTAGTGTCACCATGGCCACACGGGGAGCAGTGTGGGTCCTCAGGGGGCCTGCTGTGCATGTGGCTCTTTTTAACACAGTAAACTAGATTAGATGTCAGTGTTTTAATTGCCCCTCTCCTCTGCTCTTTTCTCGCTCCCCCTCTTTCCCCTTCTCTCAACCAGGAGACCATCCCATGTCTCTCTTCCTTCCTCCTTCCCCCCTCCAGGGGAGCCAGGCTGTCTGAAATACTTCAGCTTCTCTCCCCATCCCCCTGCTTCTCTCCTGCTGTCAGATGGATTTATTCCTTTTTTAAACAGTGAACATCGGAAATGAGACTGTGGGGTGTGTTGTTCTTTTTTTTTTCCTCCCAATTTTTGTTGTTGGGTTTTTGAGCAACCTCATGTCCCCCCTCCCAGGGAGCTTTCTTTATTTACCTCTTAGAAATGGAACGGATGGGAGGTAGAGCACTGTACTCCAGCATGCTTTGTTTTATGATGAGATTACATAGCAAGGCTTTTAATGCCATTCGGGCAGGTAAGCTTCTGCACCTCTGTTGTGCTCAGCTATATTTTCTTCTTCCTGTCATTCTTCTTTGTCTTCTTTTTTCCTCTCCCCCTCCTCCTGCCTCCTTCCTGCTGGCCTCCTTTTATCTTTCTTTCCCTTTGTCAGATTATCCTTCCAGGTTTTCATAATAAATTTATATTTTGTGAAAGGATTTTGTTGTACCAGGTTTTGCATCCTCACTGAATCTGACTGGCTTTTATTTTCCTCTCCAAAATCAGGTTTTTGTTCTCAACATCTTTCCCCATCATGTCCAGTCACTGTTTTGGTTTTGGCACCATCAATATCAAATGTACAAACGGTTCTTGCTAACCAACACCAGGTATATCTGATGTTCAGATGAGTTCCAATAAAAACAATTTTTTTTTCAAAAAGTGTCCTTTCTTGAGTGCTGGAGGGCTTCTGACCAAGTCCAGACAGCTCTGTGTAGCCCTCTAGACTGGACAAAGCTCTAGTGTCTCATTTGCTTCATGGGAGACCTTTAGATCCGGGGTCAAGTGGAGGGCTTTGGGTGAGAAAGTTGGTCTGTGAGGGCTAAAATGGGAAATGGGGCTCAGTTATCTTTGTTTTTCCAAGGCATCGTGGTCCAGTGTGGACATGGGGTTTGGGTTGTAATATCCTCTGAAGGGCTTTGGGTGAGAAAGTTGGTCTGTGAGGGCTAAAATGGGAAATGGGGCTCAGTTATCTTTGTTTTTCCAAGGCATCGTGGTCCAGTGTGGACATGGGGTTTGGGTTGTAATAGCCTCTGAGCCCGTTTCCTCACTTACAACGACAAGGATGGCGCTTTCTTGGTAGGTAATTGTGGTGGGAGTGTTACATGAAGTCATGGAAGTACAGGTGCCTGGAGAGCCCTGGCATTCAGTTGTGGCTTAGTTTTAGTTTTTTGGAATCTTGTTCAAAAGGATTGATTTTCATACTACCCCTCAGACCCTGGGAGTGACCTGTCTTGTGGGGCTCTGGGGCCACTGGGAGGGAGGGTGGGCTCTAGCCACCAACTCCAGTCTGAGCCACTCTCTGTTCTCTTTCAGTATTGTGTCTCTGTGTATAGTTTTACTTAAGGAAGAGTTGTGCTTCAATAAAGGACTTTAAAAATATTCCAAAGGGATCAAGAGCCCGAGCAGTGGGGGGAGGGCAGTCCCAGGAGTTCAGTGGGGCAGCAGCCTTCTCATCATCTCCCTGGGCAGGTCTGCTGACTTCTGCAGACCCGTGCTGTCCAGTGTGTGGCCATGAGCCCCATGTGGCTGTTGAGTCCTTGAAATTGTGGCTAGTTCAAACTGTGATGCCCTGCAAATGTAAACAAACCAGACGTTGAAGAATGTGAAAAAATTGCTCAACTTCTTTTTTATATATATGTTGAAATATTTTGAGCATTTATTGGGTTAAATGTACTATTAAGATATACCTGTGTCTTTACCTTTTTTTATGTGGCTGCTAGAAAATATTTAATTATCTACGGGGCTTGCATTTGTGGCTCATGGTTTTTTTTTGGACAGCGCTGCTCCAGACCTCGAGGGACTGCTTCCCCTCCCAGGCCTCGATAAGCTGCATCTAGGTGCAGCTGAGAGGGTGGGGTGGCCCATGGGCTAGCATGGGCCTGGCTCCCTCACTTATGGGCCCTTCCTGGCACCAGGCTTCACGGTGCCTGGGCTTCCTTGTGTGTTAATGAGATCCCGATGGCGTTGGGAGCGGCGGCTGCGGCCCTTGGCTGTGGAGCCCTGCTGCATGCTAGTTATGTAACCTGTGCTACCCAGAAAGGCCACTAGATGCTGCTCTGTGATGCCTGAGAGAACAAAGCACGACTTCCTCAGGAGCCAGGGCTCAGACCTGCTTTATTTGGAACCCTTTCTGAGAGCTGGCTGGCTGGGGCCTTGGCCTCCCTTCCTCAGAGTGGTATGGGAAGGGGGCATGCAGAGGATGGGAACTCTCCATGGACATCCCAGCCGTGCATGTAACAGGCAGGCTGGCCTTTCGGGCAGCTAGAGATAGACTATAGGATAAAGAGGCTGATTGATGGGGGGTGGGATTTGGAGAGCTTCCCTGCAGTTCTCTGGTGAAAACTGGGAAGAAAACAGCTGTGCATCATTCATCCAGGTCTGCCTCCTGGGTCCTTGATCTGCCATTTTTGGCAGATTTTAGCTATTCCTTCTTTGCTTTGCAGTTGGAGAAGTACTGGGAGCTTGGAGGGGGAGGGGGGTGTTGGTGTGTTGGGTGAGCAGAGGAGTGGTGTGGTGCCTCAAAGCAGGCAGCGCAGGCACAACACGGGTGGACAGGGTTCCAGGGTTCTTGGGTCACAAAAGCCACTGTGCTGGCAGTGCCATCCCATTCTTGCTCTGCTGCACACATGACTTTGACAAGTGTGAGGAGGTTGGAGTAGTTCTGCCAAGCGTTCTTTTTGAAGGTAGTAGGGGAGGGCTGGCTGGACAAAGGCAAGAGAGGACGCAGGCTGGAAAAGGCCCAGGCCAATGCGAGCTTCCATGGCTTGGGAAATGGGGTGGGGTGAAGTGGAGTTGGGTACTGCCCACCATGAATTGGAATAGTTAGTATTGAAATTTTGTAGGTACAGGTAAGTACAGGGTGGCTCCAGATAGTTCTGAGGGGTGGATTACAGCCTTAGAAATCTAAGCATATTTTGGGAAGTGGAAAGCACTTAACCCCTGCCCAACACAGGAAAGGCAATGTGGACATGGGCCAACTCAGGAGCTGGGCCTCCATTAGGGGCAGGATGAAAAAAGGCTGGCGTCCAACTTTGCCTTAGGAAGACAGTCATTGGGCCAGTGGACCTGGAGGAGATTGCTTCTTAGAGCTCCTTACTATGGAGGACAGCTCCATTTTGAAGAGCAGGTAGGGGTTGTACACTGAGGAATGTTCAGAGGGAGGGGCACACTGGGCTAAGGGCCTGCCTTTATCTTCTAAGTTAAGATGACAGCTACTGTGGATGTTTCTCAAGGACTCTACAAGAAGTAGCCTTCTGGGTACAGAGTAATGCATTTCCCACTATATGGTCACCAAGGCCCCTAAAGCTTTGTTGCCACTGTTGACAGAGGAATCTCTGGGTAGTACTTTAGCAAATTCTAGTAACTTTTCTGATGATGGTAGCATTGTTTGAATGATACCAGATTACTGCTTAGAGCAGTAGGCAGAACTGGCACAGGTTGTGTGCTGGAGTGGCCTGGGAGTCAGGGGATTGGGTGTTCTCTGGATTGCTACTTGCTCATCACCAGGTCCAGAGGCGGTAATTTGGATTAAGATATTGTTTAAGTCTCCTGTTTTCCAGGTTTGTGGTCAAATCTGAGTCAATCTCCAGAACTAAACAAAGAATAATTAAGAATAGCCTTTGTGAAGGATCTGGATTCTTGTGAGAGGAAAACTTAGAACCAGAGTTTTACTCAGAATTTAATAATTTTATGGGCACCGAATCTTCAAATTATATATGCTTAGCATGAAAAATATTTAAATCAGCAGTTCAGAGGCTGGTTGGAGAAGCAGTTGCTTCAGTTCTATAACAGATAAGAGGGCCGGTGGAAATTTTGAGGTCGCATTTGTGATGGGCTCAGTATTGCCCCTTCTCTGGGGCAGCGACAGAGCCAGAAGCCTCAGGGCTCTGTCCCAGGTGTGGTGTGGGAAGGCCAGTCGCTCTGTACCTGGGCCGTGGGCATCTGCCTGGGATGGGGCAACAGAGATCCCAGAGGGAAAGGCACTCAAAACTGATGGGACAGTCCCCTTGGGATGCTTGGGGCACACAGGCGGCCTCAGCAAAGGCTTAGCCTCTACCCACCTTGCTCCCTGAGCTCCCTAGCTTCCTTCCCCGGGGACGAGGAGGTTAAATGGAAGGAGGCTGCTCGGGGTCCTAGCCTCCGTGGATGTCTTCTCCGGCGGCCAGGGCGGGGACGCGGCCGAGAGCGACCCCGCGGCCCGCAGCTGCCGGCGCCGCGGCGGGAACAAAGGCAGCACGTGTCTGGGCGGGGCGGCGGGCGGGG